GAGTCTCTACGCCTTGCAGCCTGTCGTCTTTGTACCATTCTGCATGAGGCCACCGCATCAAGAGGGATGCAGACCCATTACAGACAAGGCAAAACAGGGCTCTTCGTAGGTATATATGGGGGAGAGAGTGAAGGTGCCAAGCAATAATGGATTGCGAAAGGGGCCGGGTATCTGAAGATTGGCACATACTATGTCTCGGTTGAAATATGTAGCATGCACAAGCATTTAGGAAGCGTGCTCCACGTAGAAGGCCGATCAGGACCTGACTTAGAAGCCCGAGCGGTGTCACAGAACGACGGCCTGGGACCATTAAGAAAATCTGTGTTCAGGATTCGTGGAGTAGAAACAGAGACCAAGCTTAGGTTTTGCAACCCCTTGTGTACCACCAAATTGTTGTTCCATGGGTGCGTTTGGGGTCCGCTGGGGGCCAAGAATGCCGAGAAACTCAGCATCGAGTTTCTGAAGCCATATCGAGAAGCCACCAGTGAGGTAGCCTGGAGGGCTAACCACGATGGCGCGTGCAGGCACACGGACGACGTGCTGTTGGAGGCACAGCATTTTGACGTCGAGATTGTGCTGCGCATTCTTCGCCTCCGCTATCTGTCGCGCGTGCTCTCCAAGGCCCCCCCCCCCGAGCTGAGAACCCTCTCGGATGCCCTGCGGGCGTTCAAAGACGGTTGGTGCGCTATGATGCGTAGGGACTGAGAGTGGTTCGAGGCCCAATGCAGGCCCCGTTGAAGGCAACGACGGGGTCCCAATTGGGAGTTGGTTCGGGATCGCCCGCGAGGCCCCCAAAGAATGGGCCTGCATGGTCCGAAAGGCTGTCGCCAATTACACTCACTGGAGACGGGACCAGTTGAGGCTTTCGAGGTGGAGGAGGAAAATGCCTCGTCGACCTCGTCCGTGGCGGTGATGGACAGCTTCAGGTTCGCGCTGGTGCGCCCGGTGCCCTTGCCGGCCGGCACGTCGTAGCTTCACGCCCGCCTCCCTCTCGATGTAGTTTGCGCTGGCTCTGTGCGCGCCGAGAAGTAGTTCTTATGCCATAATTCTCGTCGACGTGCTCTGCGTGGCTGGGGATGGAGTGCACTCGGATGGGTCTCTCCTCGGGGGCCTGCGTGTACTCGTCCGGGTCCGCGTCGGAATCGTCCTCGATCTCCTCGGAAGCAGTGCACCGTGGCAGCCCGGCTGCTCGGGGCACCATGAAGGAGAGAGTGCGCGGCCGATCGCGCTCGCCGCACGTCGTCCTCCACCTCCTCCTTGCGGGGCGGGGGGCGGAGGCTCGGCCGGCCGCCGTCGCAGAAGCGAAGGGCGCCATTGCCGACGAAGCCGCGCTCGTCGGTGCTGTCTGGATGCAAGGGCGGCTTCTCGTTGGGTGTGCACTCCGCCCGTCTGCGCCACGCTGCCTGTCGTCGTCGGACGCGCTGTCCTCCTCGAGGGAGTCGTGGACCTCGTCCGCGCACGGGACTTCGGCGCCTTGGAGGAGCCCTGGCCTGAAGGGCTGGGCCTCCGCGTTGAGTATGAAGCCGTTGTCCGCGATGGGCTGGGCCAAGGACGCCTGCACCTCCTGGACCATCTTCTGGATGCTCGGCAGCGTGATGCGGCTGCTTAGGCTGGTTGAACGTGAAATCGATCTGCACCATCCTGCTGCTCGTCTTGCTGTCTATGATCTTCATGCTGCGGCAGTAGCGGGCGGCCTGTGCCAGGCCCTCTCAGTGGGTGCCCGTGTGCGCCGCGAGCAGACGCAGCAGCTGCGAATGCAGAGAGGAGACGAGCAAATGTGGCTCCATGGGCGGCGGAACGGGTGAACCGAGGGATGCGCTGGTGGGCCATACACAACCTGTGCCATAGCTTCAGCCAAAAATGGCTACGGACTTCTCCTCCTCCTCCTCCTCCTCCTCCTCCTCCTCCTCCTGCCCCTCCTCCCCCCTCCCCTCTCGAGGCAGGTCCCCCGGCCGAGCGGGGGCCCGAGGGGCCTCGGCGACCATGCCGCCGCGCGGCGCGGACCCCGCGGCTGCCGGCAAGGGGAGGGAGGGAGGAGGGAGGAGGGAGGAGGGAGGAGGGAGAAGGGAGGAGGGAGGAGGGAAGAGGGAGAAGGGAGGGAGGGAGGGAGGAGGGAGGAGGGAGGAGGGAGGAGGGAGGAGATCGCTCGCCCATAGGGGGGAGGAGGGAGGAGGAAGGATCGGATCGACTCGGCAGGAGGAAGCGTCATGCTCCGCAGCGCCGGCTGGGGCCCGTTGGGCCACGAGTGTGGAGCTTCAAGCTCAAGAACCGTCGTGGCAATACGATATCCCGCCCTGCCCAACTGCCAAATAGACACCACGGCCCCAATCCTCCACCCTGGAGCAGGAAGGAGGGAGGAGGAGGGAGTCCTGGAGTCAGGGGGCGCTCGCCTCGCCAGGATCGTCCCTCGAAGAGGTGCTGCAGTTAACTTGTGTTGCGCCTCAGGTGGTAGCGGATGTGTGAGGGAGGAGGGAGCGAGGAGAGGAGGGAGGCAGGGGGGAGGCAGGGTATGGGAAGGAGCGAGAGCCTGCGGCAGACGGGGCAGGGGAGAGGAACGGCAGCAGCGGAAAGAGGGGAGAAGGGAGTAGGACGAGGAGGAAGAGGACGAGGAAGGAGAAGGAGCGAGGAGGAGCAGGGAGGAGCGGGGAGCAAGAGGAGGAGGATCGAGGATCGCGGATCGCGGCTCGAAGGGGAGAAGCAGGAGGAGGAGAGGGGAGCACGAACGGGAGCACGAGCAGGAGCGCGCGGCAGCAGCCTGGAGCACGGGCCTCCGAGCGGGAGCGGGAGGAGGAGGCGGGCTGGGCGGGCAGCGCGGCCGCTCGAACCCCGGCGCGCGCGATGGGGGGGGAGCGGAGCGGCCCGCCGATGGGCGGGGCCGACGGCGCGCCCAAGCAACAGGCGGAAGGGGCGGACCTCCTGCAACTGTTCCTCCTCCTCCTCCTCCTCCTCCTCCTCCTCCTCCTCCTCCTCCCCCTCCTCCCCCTCGCCCCTCTCCTCCTCCTCCTCCTCCTCCTCCTCCTCCTCCTCTCCACCTACAATGGAATCCCACTGCGGCTTGACCCAGCTCTAATGGAATCCTTACATGTCTGAATACGTTTCCAAAACATCTCACTAGGGGTCGATCCAGCTCTACTAGAAATCCACCGAGGCTGGATCTAGCTCAAATAGAAATGTTACTGGTTCCAGCTCTACTCAAACCCTACGAGGACTCGATCCAGCTTTAACAAGATACTCCTAGGGCTCTTCTCTCCGAGTCCTGCGAGGGCTCGACCCAACTCTGATGAAATCCCACTTGGGCTCGATCCAGCTCTAGCGGAAACCTCCTGGGGTTGGATCCAGCTGTCGGGGAATCCGACTAGGGTTCGGTCCAGCTCGAATAAAACCCTACGATGGCTGGATCCAGCTCGAGTAGGATCAGATCAGGGCTGGATCTATGTCTCATGGAATTCTATTGAAGCTCGATTCACAAAAACATTCATACAGTTGGATCCAGCTCTAATGATCCAGCAAGGGTTCGTCGCCGTCGCCGTCGTCGTCGTCCTCGTCGTCTTCGGCGTCGTTATCCTCGTCGTCGTCGTCGTCGTCGTCCGCGTCGGCGTCGGCGTCGGCGTCGGCGTCGTCGTCGGGGTCGTCGTGCGTCGTCTGTCGTCGTCGTTACCGTCGTCGTCGGTCGGGGAGGGAAAAAGAAAAAGGGGTTGTGAACCCCTCGAAATATTATCCGAGGGGGAGGGCTTATTTGAGCTTTGGTTGAGCCTTGGTTGAGCTTCGGTTGAGTTTGGTTTGGGCTTCGCTTGAGTAAGTTATGGTCGAGCTTCCCTTGAGTTGTATGTGTGCGTTGCTTGAGCTTTTTGGGAGATGCGTTAGAGCTTTGTTGGAGTGTCGGTTGGGTGTTGTTTGAGCTTTGTTTGAGTTTCGCTTGAACTGCGTTTGAACTTTGTTGAAGCTGTGTGTGAGCTCTTGTAGAGCTTTGGTTGAGATCTGCTTGAGCAGTGTTTGAACGTTGTGACAGTTTTGTTCGAGTTGTGGTTTAGCTGTGTGTGGGGTTTGTTTGAGCTGTGTTAGAGTTTTGACTGAGCTCTGATAGAGCTTTACTGGCGTTTTGTTGGAGCTGTGTTGGAGCTCTGTGTGAGCGTTGTTTAAGCTTTGTTTGCGCTTTGTGTGATTTAAATTTGTGTCAGCGTTGTTTGAGCTGTGATTGAGCTTTAGTGGAGTGTTGTTGATGCATCGTTGGAGCTTTGTTTGAGCTGTCCTTGAGCTTTTTGTTGAGCTTTGCTTGCGATTTGTTTGAGTTTTGTTGGAGCTTTGTTGGAGCTTTGTTTGAGTTCGGTCCCACATTGGGGCTGGGCTGGGGCCAAGGGAACCCCAGCGGGGGTGCCCGATACCCCAGCGGCGATTGGACCCACATATATCGAACAAACAAACAAAAATATAAGACGGAAAACTTCTGGAGTTCCGCGCGGATTTCTTGGATCAACGATGGCCCCCCCCTCTCGCGCGCAAAACACGCGAGGGGCGGCGCCGGAGGCGTCGCCAGGGAGGGCCAAGCGCCGATCCAAGAAATCCGCGCGGAGCTCCGAAAGCTTCTGCTTGTGCCGTTTCTTGTTCCTCTACAGGAGGAGCTCGACCACAAGATACCTTCCAAAAGAAACCCAACCCTGAGATCCCAGGACGTCTATCGACATTTGGTGTGGCAACGTCACGCTTTCCATAAGAAAACCATCGAAACCCAGGGCACCCTGGAGGCAAGCAGGGTGTTTCTTGGCGTGGGTTTCCACTGTAGGGTTAGTACATTCGGACTTCATGGAACAGGGCGCCCGAGAGGACACAACACTCTTCCGACGGCAACCTGGCCCCAGGACACCATAGGACATGCGGGTTGCATAGGTCGGGATAAACAGGTCACAAGGGTACCCTCATTTTGGCATGGTCGACCTGCTCATAAGGGCCGACTGCAGCCGCAGAAAAAGCACCCGAAGGAAACCCTACCCTCCCACCCTTTGGTGGCGCCAGCGCTGGCGCAACCGCTGGTCCGTCGCACCCCGCACCCCCCGCGCGCGCGCCCACCGCGGCTGGTTGCGGCCCTACTTGTCGCCCCGGAAGCAGCCGATCCATCTTCGTCCTCCTGCTCCACCCTTCGGGGGTTGCCGACGCTGCCCCTGACCCAAGGTGCCCGCAGCTCTTCGCTTCATGTCGGAGCCCCTGGGGCCCGCTTAGCCTCGCGAGAGGCGCTCGAGAGGCCGCGGGGGCCTCCTTCGAACTCCTGGGGATGCCCTGGGCCAGGGAAACTTTTAGCAACGCCCAGACCCTCGTCCGCCCCCCTCCTCCTCCTCCTCCTCCTCCGCATCCTCCCCCCCCCGTTCTTCCCCTCCTCCTCCTCCTCCTCCTCCTCCTCCTCCTCCCTCCTCCTCCTCCTCCTCCTCCTCCTCCTCGTCCTCCGCCTCCGAGCCGCAGCCACCCGAGGCGGACCGAGTTCGTTCACGTAATAGCTGGCCTGGCGACCTGATGCCGCGCACATCGAACAGCCTCCCTGCGGCGGCGTTCACTGATCCGGGCAGGAGATTTGACGAATTCACGGTGAAGAAAGAATGCATGGACGGTGGGGATCAGAGCAGAGCGACACGGGGCGATGAGGCCAAGACGGACAATGGAACAGGTAGGGGGCGGCAACAAGGAACAGCATGCGACAGAGGGGGTGAAGTGGGGACAACACCACAAATGACGGAAATGATATGGCTGTGGGCAACCCAGATAGCACAGGCTCTCCTGCTGGAAGGCTGAGGCTGTAATCCAGCCCCCGCAGAGAGTCTCCAGAACGGCAGATCGCCAGGCGGGAGGGAGGAGGAGAACCTGGGAACGCACTCCATCCCAGTGGATCGAACAGATCACGGCCGTACAATGAAGGAACCACTCCAGCAGCCTCTGTCGGAACAGGTCCGCCAGTTTGTCTGGAAGCACGGATATGGTTAGCTGATGAAAAAGAAGACGTTGAGGATGAAGAGCCTTAAGAGAGCTATGCGAGGTTTAGCACGTTAAGTGTCAATAGCGTTTTAAATAGTTTGCATCGCGGCAGGATGAACAAACTTGCTAGTAGGAAACCCACGGGAGGCCTCTCGACGGTTGGCTGCGAAAGCTGGAGATTTCCTAGAAAGGAAGGCCATGGAGTACCTGTAATCGCTCTCGCAATAGAATACTCCCCCGCGCATTAATCATACAACTCCTGATAGTCATGTCCAGCTGGTGAAAGTGAACATGCTGGCCCTGGCCATCTGGGATAGGCTGATCAACTTCAAACTTTTGACTCTCGGTCCGCCCCGCGAGACCAAGTTCGGCCAGGCTGCTTCAGTCAGTCTGCAGAAAGGTAAATGAAAGATGCTCGTGAGAAGCTTGAACTCTTGCTTCTGCAGCACCACTGGGAGGGACTGGAATTGGTCCACACACGCTAACACAGAAAGAACCCTCGAGCCATAAAGAAGCCCCGCGACCTGGGAAGCCGCACCTTGACGAGAGAGCTCCCGAACCCGACCAACGTATTTTCGAAACGGTTTCGTCCATTCGTCCAGGAGGTGAACGGGGTAACCCTGGGGGCAATCCACATCCCAAGGTAAAGAACAGAGCCGGCGATCGAGAAGTCGCTCCACTCGGGGACGCTTCTCTTCAGGCGCAGGCGGTAAAGCTCGACGAGAGGGTCGCAGAAGGAGCCGAGGAGGGGGGCGATTTTGCACTTGGCGGACTTGAGGTAAAGATGGGCGAGGCGGTAGGCGTCGAGGAAAACAAGGTAAACGTAGAAGAGATCCACCATCCTGTAGATCACCGCTCCTATGTCGTCAGCACACGTCTGAGCGATGCCTCTGGGGCTGGATGGGGACTCGAGCGTGCCACACAGTTTGATCAGAAAGGGATCCGCGCCGATAGCGTACAGACTCCCACTGGCTGGGCAGCCCTGGATGACCCCACTCGTCACCGAATAGAGAAAGCGCTGTTCTCCACCGATGGTCCCTAGGCAGGCAACACACCAGTAAAGATGGGAAATGAACGCCTGGAGGGGGGCAGGGGGGTACGCTTGAACGTCTGCTCCTCCTCCTCCTCCTCCTCCTCCTCCTCCGCCTCCTCCTCCTCCTCCTGCTCCTCCTCCTCTTCCTTCTGCGCTGGAGAGAGAAAGATATACCGATATCGATACTCCCCAGACCTCTCCTGGGGTGCATTCTGACCAGAATGTCCAGAAGAACCCAGCCGGTGTGACGAGAAATCTCAAAGACGAGCAGCGGTATGGGTAGCTGTTCCTTTTTGCGTCTCCATCCTCGTGCTCCTCCTCATCCTCCTGCTCTTGCTCTTGCTCCTGCGCCTGATCCCTGCTCCTGCACCTCCTGCTCATGCTGCACATCCTGCTGGTCCTGCTCCTCCTGCTCCTCCTGCTCCTCCTCCTCCTCCTCCACCTCCTCCATCATCATCAGCATCAGCATCATCAGCATCATCATCATCATCACATCATCATCATCATCATCATCATCATCATCATCATCATATCATCATCATCATCAGCAGCAGCATCATCATAATCATCATCATCATCATCATCATCATCATCATCATCATCATCATCATAATCAGCAGCAGCAGCAGCCTCATCATCATCAGCAGCAGCATCATCATCAGCATCATCATCAGCATCATCATCATCATCAGCATCAGCATCATCATCATCATCATCATCATCAGCATCATCATAATCATGATACGCATCATCATCATACTCATCATCATCATCGGCAAACGCATCAGCAAAACGATCTGCAGCAGCATCATCAACATCATCATCACGACCACCACCACCACCATCATCATCATCATCGTCGTCGTCAGCATCATCAATATCATCGTCATCATCATCATCATCATCATCAGCAGCAGCCTCATCATCATCAGCATCAGCATCAGCATCATCATTATCATCATCATCATCAGCAGCAGCAGCCACATCAACATCAGCATCAGCAGCAGCATTATCATCATCAGCAGCAGCAGCAGCATCATCATCAGCAGTAGCAGCAGCCGCATCATCAACATCAGCAGCAGCATCATCATCATCGACAGCAGCATCGTCAGCATCATCATTAGCATCAGCATCAGCATCGACAACATCAGCAGCATCATCATCATCATCAGCATCATCATCTTCATCAGCATCATCATCAGCATATTCAGCATCATCAGACTCAGCATCGTCACAATCAGCATCAGCATCATTATAGTCAGCATCATCATCAACAAAATCATCAGCATCATCATCATCATCATCATCATCATCAGCAGCATCATCATCGTCATAATCATCAGCATCATTATCATCACCATAATCATCATCAGCAGCATCATCAGATCGTCATCGACACAAGCATCATCAGCATCATCAGCTGCATCATCATCAGCATCATCAGCATCAGCATCATCAGCATCAGCATCATCAACATCGGCAACATCATCAGCATCATCATCAGCAGTAGCATCATCTTCAGCATATACCATCATCATCATCTTCATTATCATCATCCTCATCATCAGCATCATCATCATAATCATCATCATCAGCATCATAATCATCAGCAGCAGCAGCAGCAGCAGCAGCAGCAGCATCATCATCATCATCATCATCATCATCATCATCATCATCATCATCATCATCATCAACAGTATCATCGTCATCATCGTCGGAATGTTCAGAATCATCATCATCATCGTCAGCATACTCATCATCATCGTCGTCATCATCATCAGCATCATCAGCATAATCATCGCCCCGAGCCATCATCATTATCGTCATCATGATGACCACCTGCCCAATCATCATCGTCATTGTCATCACCACACCATCATCATCGTCATCATCGTACGTGTCATCATCGTCATCAGCAGCATCATCATCACTGCTATCATCATCACCAGCAGCATCCATCATCACTGCTGTTCATTGTCATGAACGAGCGCATCAGCAACACCACAAACAACAACAGCAGCAACAACAACAACATCATCCCTCTCATTATCCTCCTCCTGCTCCTTTTGCTCTTGCTGCTCCTCCTGCTCCTCCTGCTCCTCCTGTTCCTGATCCTGCTCCTGCTCCTGTTCCTGCCCATCCTAATCGTCCTGCTTGTCCTCCTCCTTCTCCTCCCACTCCTCCTCATCCTCCTCCTCATCATCATCATCACCATCATCATCACCATCATCACCATCATCATCACCAGCATCATCATCACCACCATCATCATCATCATCGTCATCATCATCATCATCATCATCATCATCATCATCATCATCACAACCATCATCATCATCATCACCATCATCATCATCATCACCACCACCACCACCACCACCATCTTCATCATCATCATCATCATCATCATCATCATCATCATCATCATCATCATCATCATCATCATCATCATCATCATCATCATCATCATCATCATCATCATCATCATCATTATCATCGTCATCGTCATCGTCATCAGCATCCCTCTGTTCCTGCCTCGAGCCCTCGCTCCTCCACCTCCTCCCTCCCCGCTCCTCCCTCGGCCCTCATCGCCCTCCTCCCCTCACCTCCTGGGCTGCCAGCTCGCCGCCGCGCCCTAGAGCGCTGGCACGCGAGCCCTGCGCCCGCCGTCACCCTCCGAGTGAGCCCCGGCGCGCGGGGCGGGAGGGCCAGCGCACGGAGGGCGGCCAAGATGGGGGCGTCCACTCGCCGTCGCTTGGACGTCCATCCCTTGTGTTTTTTTCAGTTTTGTGCGTGGCTGTTTCGCCAACTGATCAAGGATGCTCCTCGATGGTCCTCGCCGAAGGAAAAATGCTCACGTCCGAGCGATGCCAAGCCCAAGAGGGGGAAGGGTCGCAAGCCATGGCCCGAGGCACGTGCGCGGACCAGGCGGGGGCCAGGGATGCACCAGAAGAAGGATAATTATGAAGGGGCCCCAGGGCACAGAAATAAATACACACAAATAAAACAACAAATCCCCATATTTTCTGGGTTTTTGTCTTCGCCCCCACTTCCCATATTTTCCTATATTTTCTGGGGGGTCGACGATTCATTGTGTCTGTGTTTTTCTCCCTCCTGAAAAAAGGGGGCGTGCGGTCTGGGGAAACAGCGTGGCCCCCGCCAGGATCTCCGTCCCCCCGCGAATCATCACCCCCGTTTTGTGCGGACGCCCCCGCGTAGCACCCTGGGCCCCTCGACTGCGAGCGCGATCGTCGTGGGTCCGTGGAGGTGAGCGGCTCGGCGCCGGGGCAACTTTTAGACGCCACTAGAAAAACACATCAACGACAAATCCACGCCCCCTAGCGGTCTGGATTCCAGAGCGCGATTCCGCGGTTACGCGATCGCACGGATACGTTCCGCGCGGGGCGGCCGCGACAAAAACGCCCCGCGTCCGTGGGGTCGCGGCGCATGGGCCCGGCCCGCGAGGCCGCGGATACGGACGCCCAGGAGTTTCGCCGACGCTGGTCTTTGGACGACCGAGGCTGGAAAACGGGCCCGACTCACACCAGCGAAAGTCGTCCAAGACCGATGTAAGCCGCTGGTGGGCAGGCGGCATTTTGTCTCACATGCACAACACCGCCCGCGGCGACACAGACCGCGAATCCTGTCCCAAATGGACGAGAGCTGCTGTGGTGTTCGTACCCATTTTCTTGCCGTGCCCATTCCTATCGCACCGGGGTCGCAGCCCATGGGCCTGGCCAGCGAGGATGCGGAAACAGATACGTTTCTTCCCCCGATGCATACAAGGAAGTCGCTCAGGGCTTCGCTTCAAGTGAAAGTGGTGCCCCGAGCGTGCGGTCTCATAGAAACTTGCACGTGGAAAGTAGCGCCGTCAAGTGGAAGGTCGTTTTCCCGCGCGAGGGCGCGGTTAGGTTGTCCTGATGATATCTCAAGCGAAAGCCCCCAAGCGACGACTTGCTACTGGAAGCGACGCCCCGAGGGACTTCCATGCAGCGTTCCGCATGCCGACTTCGATCGCACCGAGCCGGCCGCCGGAGCGCAGGGCCGCGGCCACTCGCGCGGGGATCCGGCAAGCCCTACGCGACCAGGGAAAACGCTGAAAAACCGTGATCATCGAAGGGCGAGCCTCCTCGTTCCTCATACACGATCCTGGGCAGCCAAGAGGGGGGCGTAAAAGAGGTGGGGGCGCAAACCATGGCTGCCAGCACGTGCGCGGCCCAGAGGGGGGGCCGAGGACGAATTGAAATAAGGGGAAGCGCATGGAAACCTGGGCAGATCTCATGGCCCCCGCCATGATATCCACCTCCCCTAATCATCCACCCCCCCCCGTTGCCGCCCCCGACACGAGAACAGCGCGCATGCACCGTACCATGCCTGGACTCCCTTCAGGCCCCGCCCCAGCGCAGTACTGTGCACAATTCTCTTGCCCTGGGGGCCGTCCAAGTATGCCATGCACCGTGCCACTCCTGGGTCGAGGCTCGACGATGCCCCGAGAAGCGCCAACGCGACACGGTGCACACCCTTTCCTCGGCAGCGCCAGCGGACGCAGGCGCGGGGGTCGGCACCGCCGAGGCGCGCCGGGCACGGGGCGCGGGAGCAGGCGGGCAGGAAGGGGTCTCGGCCGCGGGGGAGGACATGGGAAGGACCCGACCGCCGAGACTCGGCGGCTGAGCGGCAGCACGGTGCACTTTTTGGTCGGCGGGTCGGGAGCGGGCCCATTCCGGTTAAGAGCTAGGCGGGGCGCGCGAAGCCCTAATTGGGGAGACAGGGCGCGGGCGGGCGGAGAGACAGCACGGCGCACACGCACGTCGTCCGCGGAGCACCCCTCCTCGCTCCTCAGACCCGACGTCTGCGGCAGGCGGCGAGAGCCCCGGCGCACGGCGCGGCGGCCGCCGCCGCGGCGCGGCTGCGATTGCACCGCCCGCACGCGCCGCAGTGGCTCAGCAGCGCGCAGGGCCGCCCAGCGGCCTCCACGGCACACCTGCGCCGGCGATGACGACGACGACGACGACGACGACGACGACGACGACGACGACGACGACGACGACGACGACGACGACGACGGCGGCGGCGGCGGCGGCGGCGGCGGCGGCGGCGGCGGCGGCGGCGACGGCAGCGACGGCGGCGACGGCGGCGACGACGACGGCGACGACGACGACGACAACGACAGGGCGGAAGCGGCGCCCGCGGCGGCGACGACCAGGGCGGCGACGACGATCGAGGAGCAGCGAGGAGGGGGCAGAAGGAGGAGGGGAAGGGGAACCCGTGCGCGCCCAGATTGGTGGTAGAATGTCCGCTTGGGGCGGGAGACGTGTCTGCTGTCTAAGAGCCCCATGACCACTGCAATGTAGCAAGTATGGCATTTGGGGGCATCTACGCGGTGGTCATCCAGGCGCTTTGTATCTGGAAGCTCCAGGACACCCCCGAGGCCCCAGGGGCCCCAGAAGGCCCCCCGAGCTCTAGGACATGTCAGGGCGGCCCTGAGCATCCCAAGAGGCCTGAGCAAGCCCCAGGAAGCCCGAGTAACTCCCAAGATCCTATCACTCATACCCAGTCCTCCTCACACTCCATTCTCATTCACATACAAGCCCACTCGTACTCAGACTCGCTCGTAGTCACGCACACTCAGACTCATTCGCACTCAGACCCACTCACACCCAGGCGCTCAGACGCAAACGCACTTTCAAACATACTCATTACTGTCCTCGCACGCCAATACCCAGACCCAGGCATGCTGAGACATGCTGCATCAGCCAGTCATCCACAGATCGGCTCACACTCAAAATCACTCACACTCAGACTCATTTCGTTCTCAGGCACACTCAGATTCAGAATCGTTTAGCCACAGAGTCAGTGAGTCAGTCGCATCCCAGCCAGGCCAGCCACTTATACTCGAACGCAGTCCCGCCCAAACTCTCTCATACTCAGACGTTCGCGTTCTCTTCCGCTCGCACTCAGACACCTTCTACGCAGCGCTAGAACATATGGGGATCCCCGCGTCGAATATTTGACAGTCCTGGGGCCCGTTGACGGCCTCTGGAGGCGGAAACTTCGAAAACTCTGTGCAATTCGCGTGGTCCGACACATTCGATATCTGGAACTAAATCTGCAGAAAAGATCATTCGCACTCCCCTCCCGGAGTCCATCTGGGCAAGCTTTTCATCCCCCATCGGGTTCCGACAAACCCTGGGGCCCAAAGCGACGCCCGGGAGACCGATACTGCCGGGGGAAAAAAAAAAAAAACTATATTTGTTTTTGAGCATCAGTAGATGGGAGCGGACAGCGACAACATGTACAACACGACTCGCCTTGCCGAGCGTGCTGATAACTGTGATGCTCGTCGCAAGGCTGTCCTGCGAGCGTGGCCATAACTCCAGCCAGGGATTCGGGCATAGAGGGACCAGGGCCTCGCCACGAATACGCTGCTGCTGGCTGTAGGCGCCGGCGGGAGCGGACACATCCTGCCCCCCCCCCAGAAAGAACGACGCAGAGAAACAGAGCTGCTTGTGACAAGTTCTCCCCATCGCTCGGACGTTCATTCTCCGTGCCTGTTTTGATGCCGTGCGCTCGTTTTTTTGTTCGCAGGATGGTCACGATGCTCCTCGATGGCCCTCGCCGAGGCAGACAAATCCACACGTCCGAGCCAGGCCAAGACATTCTCTGGGGCGGAGAAAAGTAGTCAAGCCTCTAAACCTCGGCGACACGCCCGGGGGGGGGGGGGAAGGGGCGGAGGGGGCGTGCCTCCCTGGGGAAGGCTTCCTCCCGAGCCTTCCACGGAGCGCCGCCGCTCTCTGACGACGCCTGCCCGCGCACGGGGCTCGGAGCCAAGCAGCTCTCTCTCTTCGTCCTGCCGTCCTGCTTTCGTCTTCCGCCGTCCTGCCCCCGCCCGGCCCGTGCTGCGAAACGAGGGCGAAGCGAGGCCGCCCCGAGGCACCGCCAAGACACCGCCTGGCTCGCGCCCTGCCCACTCGATGGGCAGCGTCGCCTGGCTTGCGGCTCCATCCGCGGGCCTCCCGCGGCCGCTCGGGACGATCCGGGCGCCCCCCGGGAGCGCCCCTCGGCGAGGCGCGGCCGCCGGAGCGCCTCGCCGAGGAGGGGACGCCGCCGAGGGCCGGCGGCAACGCCCGAAAGCCTCGAGCCGCGGACCCGAAGCAACCCAAACTTCCCTCCCTCGGCGCGCCGCCGAAACCTCGCCCCCGCGCGGAGGAGCATCGGGGGCGTCGTGGAGAAGGTCGGCGGCGAGCGAGGGAGGGAAATGAGGAGGAGGAGGAGAAGGAGGAGGAGGAGGAGGCCTTCTCAGAAGGCGGCGGGACTTCTCAGAAGCTCTCGCGCCTTCTGAGGAGTTTCCCGCGTCTTCGGGGAAGGCTTAGCAAACTTCTCAGAAGGGCGGTAATACTTCCGATCCTTCCGAGAAGGCCTTCTCCTTCTCACTTCCCCCCCCCCAGGCTCGCGGCCGAGTCCTAGAGAAGGGTGTCCGAGAGGGGGCTCGCGAAGCATGGCCCGAGGCAGGTGCACGGACCAGGGGGGACCACGGGACGCACTGAAAGAAGAGGGGCCCTGAGAGCTGGGAGCTGTCATGGGCCCAGCCACGAGACTCGCCCCCCTGGTCATAAGAAGGGGGAAGCCAACAGGCACCGATGCCGTTACTCCCTGGACCTCTCCCTGAGGGTGCGTTCGGACCAGTACTTCGAGGAGAATCCAGCGGTGGCGACGGTGGCCTCCCAGGAGGCCCAACATGAAGGGGCCCTGGGACACACAAATAAATACACACAAATAAAAATATGTCCCATATTTTGCCATATTTTCTGGGTGTCTGTATTCCCCCCCACTTCCCATATTTTCCCATATTTTCTGGGGGATCGACGATTCATTGTGTCTGTGTGTTTTTTCCCTCCTGACAAAACAGGGAAAGCGAGGGAAAGCTAGCAGGAAAGATACCTCCTCCTCCTCTGGAGCGCACCCCTCTTGGCCGCCCCCGCGCGCAGGGCGCAGCGGGGCCTGCCCGGGCCCGAGCGGCCGCACAGGCAGCAGGCGCCGCCGGGCAGCCTCCGGGCCTGCCGGGCGGCCGGCGGCGGCGCGCGACCAGGTCTCCAAGAGGGGGTCCAAGGTTCGAAGTCACCCCACGAGGCATCGTGGCGAAGAAACCAGCTCCGTCTCGTCGGCAGAAGAGCTCGCTGACCCACTTTTCGGTGGCGAGTTGGCCAGAGCAAAGCCGTGCCCCTGGTGATCCAACTCTTTGCCACTCCGCATCCACATTGCTTGGGCGCCCGAGTTATCCGGGGTAACTCGGGTCCGGGGTAACTCGGGTTTGGATTCCCGAAAAAGGAACCCGAGTTATCCCTGACCCGAGTTACCCCTGATGATTCGGGGCTCTTGGACGCCCGATTTATCCGGGGTAACTCGGGTCCGGGGTAACTCGGGTTTGGATTCCCGAAAAACGAACCCGTGTTATCCCTGACCCGAGTTACCCCTGATGATTCGGGGCTCTGAATTGCCGTCCTGCAAATCCTCCAACCACTGCTGGCACAAACCAGCAAGCGAGAACTCAGTCATGATTCGGTTTGGAGTCGGGGGATCGCGCCGCATCGCCACTGCATCTCCCGATGCGTCGGCGGTGCATCGGCGGTGCATCGGCGATGCGTCGGCGATGCCTCGGCGCCTTCGGCGCCGGGGGAACTCCGGCTCCACACGGAGCCGCATCGCCGATGCATCGGCGATGCGGCGCGATACTCCGACACCATCTGCCAGTCTGCTGGGACCCCAGCTGGGAGGCCCAGAGCGACGCGGGCCCAAATGCCCGGCGATGTGACTTGTTCAACCTGGGCGGTGTTGCTCGGGGTCGGCCTCCGGGGCCCTTCATCGGGACGACGCCCTGCGCACCCCCTTGAGGTGTGGAGAGAAAGCCACGCCGCGACCCGGAGACAGATAGAAGCCGCGGTGAGGGACCACCGCCGGCGCACCCCCATGTGGCGCGGAGAAAATGCAACGCTGTGTGTGTATGCGTGCTGTATGTGTGCTGTGCGTATATGAGTGCGGTCCGCGTCTGCGTGTCTTGCGTGTGTGTATGATGCGTGTACGGTTGCATACGAGTGTATCTTGCGGGCGTCGTGCTGCGTCATACAGCATGTTCGTTCGTGTATGGTGCGCGCGCGAGTAAAGGTGAGAAAGAGAAGGAGAGAGGGGGAGCTGTGTGGGAGCGCAGATCCCATGTGGGTGGGAGGGCTCACCAGGTAGGTGAAGTGTGGGCTTCGCGCGGGTGGGACGCGGCTGAGAAGAGAAGCAGAACCCCACGAAACGTGCGGGGAACTAGAGTCGAACAGATCCGCTAGGTGGGCCCCAGGACAATCACCAAGACGAGCATCTAGCCTTAGGCCCGGCACGTCCTCCTACAGGCGGATTGTTTAAAGTGCAACTTGAAACAAACACAGAAATCGTCAAAGATAATAGAAAAATCGTCCCCTGACTATTTTTGACCATTCTTGAATATTGCCCCTGCAGAGGGACAGGCCCGACTTACATTCAGCCCCTCGCTCACGGGAAGGGGGCCTGAGGGCTGGACCCCGGGGGCCTCTCCCCGAGACCAGTCCTTCGCCCCGATATCGCCTCAGCAGGCGGCCCTGGGCCCACGGGCCCAGAGCTCGGATTCGCGGGCCGGAAGCGCCGTCCCCTCTCCTGGGGGCAGCTCCGCGACCCAAGAGCAGCTTCTGAACAGCCCGCCCGCCAGGGTCGCCGAATCTGGAGGAACGGCGCACTGTCAACCCGTATAGTAAGGATGCGCGATAAGGATACAAGCGCCTCGAACGCCCATTTCGAAGTTTTTCGAGCGGGGCCTGGCCAACGCAAGTGGCCGAGGACATACCGAGGAGGCAAGGATGCAAGGGTACTCTTGGGCAGGTTGCCCATCCGTACTATGTGGACTGACGGTAAACATAAGCCGTTAGAGGTCCGCGCGAAATTATTGAATCTGCGTTTGGTCCCCCTTCACGACCGCGGCGGCGCTGGAAGCACCGCCTCAGGAGGGCGGGCCCAGCGCCGCTCCGAGAAATCTGCGCGGAGCTCCGAAGAGTTGATGTCTGTGCCTCGCTTCCCTCCTCGGAACGCAGCCCCCGAGTGCCCCCGAATGCCCCACGCCCACAAACAGCATCCCGGCAACGGATCCACACCAGCGGGTGGCCGCGGGTGGAGCTCCACACACGTGGGATCGCTCGCGCGGGGTGGGCACCGAGATCGGCACGGGCGCGCCATGCGGGCTCGCTCTTCCACGGGGGCTCTGAGTGGTCACGTGTTCGGGCGCTGCTAGAGGTGCCCCTGGCCCAAGGTGCCCCCAGGATTTCCAAGGAGGCCCCCACGGCCTCCAGAGCACCCCTCGCGAGGCCGCAGGGGGGCCCAGGGGCTCCAAAATGGAGAGGAAAGCTGGGGCCGCCTCGGCACCTCGGGCCAGGGGCACATCTAGCAACCCCCGACATGAGGGGCACGATCCGCGTGAGGGGTGCCCTGAGATGGGCGGGGGGGGGGGCCGCCATCCGAGCGCCTCCACGGCATGGGGCCACCGACGGAGCTCCTCCCTGTGAGGCACGATCCGCGCTAGGGGTGTGCCGAGAGGGGCGGCGGGACGCCCTGCAGAGCCATATGCGCGGGGCTCTCACTCCGCGACGGGGGTGTGCCCAGATGCGCGGAGAGACGTCACGTGGGCCCCCTCGACTGGGACCACCCTCAGGCGGACCGCGCCTCGTGGCTGGCGTCACGAAGCACGATCCGCCTGAGGGTGGTGTGCCGGAATGAGCGGGGGGGCGCCACGTGAGCCCCTCCACTGGAGCCACTGGTGATGCTCCCCGTGGTGCGAGGAGACTCGTGAGCGGTGTCCCAAAAGATTGGCACGCGGCTGGAGAGCAGGGGCAGGGAGAGGAGGAGGAGCAAGGAGGAGGAGGACCAACGATGCCGAAATACACCCTCCCGTCCCAAGCCCCCTCTCTGGAAATCACTACAAGTAAGCCATTCCAACTGCGGAAGCGACCCCTGGAATTAGGTCGGGGCATGTCCCCCTACAGGCGGATACTGGACGAAAAATTAACAATATCACGAAAAAATCAAGCATTGTCAAACATCGCCGAAACATCGTCCCCAGACGATTTGCTTACTGTTTTTTAAATTTTCCTCCTGTAGAGGGACATGCCCGATATAACCCCTGAATCACGAGGACAAGCACAGGCCTGCCACTCAGGCGAGGCCTGGTTCTGTAGAGGATCCACCCTCCATCCTTCTGGCTACAAGAGGCGCAGATTTCGAGCAGGGGATCGACTACAGTGGCAGGATGAATGAGTCCAAACAGGAAGCCCAGTGATAGCCCACTTCAAGTCGGATCTGCCCCCCATCGGAGTAGGTGTTGCACAACTTCGATCGAAAGTATGGCCATGGAAGTTCCATAAGCCGCAAGCCAAGATCCACGTCTGAAAAAGAGCCGCCTCCCAGGGATGTAGCTGTTGCACGGTTTGGCACTGCGGGTCACGGAATCTGACTACCTACCAGACCACCCCAACCCAACCCGAAGACCCCAATTTCGGGTTGGGGGGGGTAAGGGTTCCATACGTGTTTTTTCAGTGTTCCCCGACCCCCCCCCACTGGAAATCGAGGGTAAATCTGAGCCTTCGGGTTGGGTTGGGGTGGTTTGGTAGGTGGTGAATCCTTGTGACTCCTGGAAAAAATGTTGAGACGAGCGTGCGCGGTGCAGGGGCGAGAGCCGCACCTTGAAGACGGCCAGCCACCCTAGAGGCCTCCTAGATGGGGTCGGAGTAGATGGGGTCGGAGGATCGCGCCGCATCGGCGATGCATCGGCGATGCATCAGCGATGCATCGGCGATGCATCGGCGATGCACCGACGATGCATCGCCGACGTCGGCGACGCATCGGCGACGTCGGCGTGGAGAAAATCGGGCTCCGCATCGAGCGGCATCGGCGATGTATCGCCGATGCGGCGCGACCCTCCGACCCCATCTACTCCGACCCCATCTGGGAGGCCTAGACACCCCTCCGTGTGCCTGTTGAAGTGATCTCAGCTTTCAGGAAGACACTGTGTGTAGGGAGGTCTCCAGCGAAACGCCCGGCCCAGCCTGCGGACACACCTGGTGGTGCGGCGCGAGAGGTAACATGATTACCAGGAAGCGCGAGATGGAGACAGGAAGACGCGGGCGCGAGGCGACGCGGAGCGCTGCGGATACAAAGGAGGACCCAACGACAGCAGGGCTGAGAGAGTAAACAAAAACTGCGGGATCGACAAACTCGATCTGCCCGAGGTCTGGGTTCGGGGAAGGGCCATGAGCAACTAGAAAAACGGCGGGAAGACCCCAGGACCCGTGTCCCTCAGGTATGCTACATCTTCGGGGGACCTTGTCTGTTCCATGGCATCTCCATTCGCGTCGAATCAGGATCGGATCAGCATCGAATCCGTCGAATCCGCGCCGAATCCGCGCCAAACCGGCGTCGGATACAAGAGAAGGTCGCCATTAATTGGACAGGCAAGGTCCCCCGGAGATGCCATGTGACCTCATGGACCCTCTCTAAGAGGAAACGTCAATGGGGGCTCGGCTCAAGGGGGGAAACCTCAGCTGGGCTCGGCGATGCATCGTCGATAGATCGGCTCGGCGGCGAGCCCAGGGGGGAAGTGAGAAGGGGGTGGCCTTCTCAGAAGGCTCGGAAGTCCCCTGGCCTTCTGAGAAGTGTCCTAAGCCTTCCCCGAAGGCACAGAAAACCTACTTATCAGAAGGCGCGACGCGAAAGGCCTTCTGAAAAGCCCCAGCGCCTCCTGAAGAGGCCTTCTCCTTCTCACTTCCCCCCGCGCTCGCCGCCGAAGATCGGCGACCGCCGCCGTCGCGCCGCCGCCGCCGCCGTCGACCTTGCCACCGCAGTCGTCGACGGCGACCAGGCGCACCCGGGAAGTGAGAAGGAGAGGGCCTTCTCAGCAGGCGGCGTGGCCTCTCAGAAGCCCTCGCACCTTCTGAGAGGTTTGTTGTCTTCGGGCAAGGCTTAGGAAACTTATCAGAAGGCCGGGAGGGCTTCCGAGCCTTTTGAGAAGGTCCGCCCCTTCTCACTCCCCCCTGGGCTCGCCGCTGATCTTAAGCCGAATGGGGCTGGAGGAACCCTGGGGCTCAACAGTGAGACAAGATTAGCCCCGGATTGCACGGGAGCGTGCCAAATGAGGCCTGGCCTCGACCACGGATGCGCCAGCGACGGTGCTGATTATGAACCCCCCAGGAATTGCATCCGAAACGACGCGTTGGGCAGCGCCTGGGATCGCCGGGGAGCGCCTGGGAGGGAGCGCCTGGGAGGCAGCGCCTGGGAGCGCCTGGGAACGCCTGGGCGCGCATGGCAGCACCTGGGAGCGTCTGGGAGCACCTGGGAACGCCTGGGAGCGATCGGGAACGCCGGGGAGCGCCGGGGAGCGCAGGGGAGCGCTTGGGAGCGCTTGGGAGCGCTTGGGAGCGCCTGGGAGCGCTTGTGAGCGCCGACGCAGACGGGCGAACTCGACGACCAAACAGTCAAGACGAAGGCACAGTCAACCCGTGTAAGAAGGACGCCCGAGAATGATGCGAGGCCCTTGAAAGGGCATTTCTAGGCTTTTCGAGGGGGGCGCGGCCAGCGAAAGTGGCCAAGGATGGGCCGAAGGGGCAAGGATGCAAGGGTGCCCTTGGGAAGGTTGCCCATCCTGATTATGCGGGTTGACTGTAGTATGAGGATACAGATTCGGACGAGGACGGAGCGGAAATCTCTGAGGACCAGCGGGCCTGGAGGATGCAGCGGGCGCGGCGACCGTCCCAGGACGCTCCAGGACGATCTGAGAGCGTCCCGCAAAGCTCTGGAGCTGGGCCTGTCCGAACGACGACACATCAACGACGACCATGACTTACGACGACGACGACGACGACGACGACGATGACGACGACGACGAAGACGTCGCCGTCGCCGTCGCCGTCGCCGTCGCCGTCGCCGTCGTCGGCGTCGCCGCGGCGACGCCCAGGGGATGAAGGCCTCACTGCGCCGCAGGGACAGGCAGACGTGTCGCAGACTTGCGGGGGAGCTGAGGCCCCGGATCAGGCTGTCGGAGAGCGCGGCGGGCTCCTGCGGGGAGAAGGCCCCGTTCGGTTTGTTCTCGACATGCTGTCGGATGCTCCCGACGTGTCAGGGGTCTTCCTCCTCCTCCTCCTCATCATCATCATCATCACCATCATCATCATCATCATCATCATAATCATCATCATCATCATCAGCATCAGCATCATCATCATCATCATCATTATCATCATCGTCATCATCGTCATCACCACCACCACCACAACCATCACCATCACCATCATCATCATCATCATCATCATCATCATCATCATCATCATCCCCTCATCATCATTATCGTCATCACCATCACCATCCCCCTGAACATCATCCTCATTATCATCCTCCTCCACCGCCTCTTCCTCATCCTTATCCTCACTCATCATCGTCCACCTCAGCCGCCTCCTCTCATCCTCATCATCATCCTCATCCTCCTCCTGATCCTCATCGTCATCATCCTCCTGATCCTCATCCTCATCCTCATCCGCCTCCTGATCCTCCTGCAGAAATTGTCCGCGCGAAAGCGCGATTGTGGAATACCTTGTGAGGAAGTATCAGGCGGGAGCCGTTGTTGTTATTGTTAGTGCGGATATGATTGTTGTTAATATTAATGTTTCTGTAAGTGTTGTTGTTGGTGGTGGTGTTATTGTTGTTGCTGGTGTTATTATTTCTTCTGGTTGTAAACAGGGGGCCAGGGGCGCAGTTTGGTGACCCCTCGCATTCCTTTGTAAAAAGGAAGTGCGAGCCCAAGGAGGAACACTTTTATTGAAAAATGCAATGGTTACTGGAGGGGAGGGATCAACAATAACTATCTGCTAGAAATCAGGATTCCATCATGTTAACACGGTTCGCTCTTACGCGCCCGCGTGCCATCCAACACGTACATCCCAGAACCTTCGATACCCGCCCTCTTCGTCTTCAATCGTACCTACTTGGGGGTATATATCTTCCTTGCCCACAAGGTGTATTTCGTAGAGCCCCCAAGGCAGGAGAAGCGAGGGCGGATGGAAGGAAGCGGCAAGGGGGAGGGAGGAAGATGGAGCATGAAAGAGAATAGCAGCATGGGAGCCAGGAGCAGAAAACACGTGGCAGAACCAGACGGGCAGATCGGGCGGGTAGACCCTAACGAGCGGGTCGGGAAGGCGGGCCCAAGCGGCCAGGTCAAGCAGGCAGGTTGCTGAAGCGTGCGTCCTGCATGAATCGCGACGAAATCTCTAGCGATAGCGCGATTCCTACGTAAATCGTGAAGGAATGCACAACGAGAGCATGATTCCTGAGTGTCGAGGGCGCGGCGTCTGAACAATTGCGAGGAAATCCCGCGCGAGAGCACGCTTTCTGCATAAATTGTCGGGATATCCCGCGCGAGAGCGCGACTTGGAAGTACATTGAAAGAAAGTGTCCGGCGGGGGCCTCTGGTGTCGTGAACCGGGGGCCAACAACCCGATATGGTAATATTTCACCTTCCCTCAAAAAAACATGGGTGCGAGCCCCGGGAGGAGCACTTTGATTGAAAAATAGAGTGGTCATTGGAGGGGGGATCGACGTACGCAAGGGGCCAACGGCACCATTTGAGGAGGAGGCCATTCCCTGCAAAAAAACAGGATGCGAGCCAAGGGAGGAGCACTTCTATTGGAAATCACCATGGGAAGCGGGGGGATCATCAATAGTCCTCCTTCCGAAACAGTATCACCACCACCAACAACAACAACAACAACAACAACAACAACAACAACAAACACAACTACCACAACAACAACAACAACAACACCAGCAACAACAACAACAACCACAACAACAACAACATCAACAACAACAACAACAGCAACAACAGCAGCAACAACAACAACACAAGCAACACCAACATCAGCAACTACAACAACAGCAACAGCAGCAACAACAACAACAAACATTGTAAAACTGCTCGCTCATATCTGCTCGCAGGACACTCATCACGTAAAGCCTCGATACCACCCTGATCGTTTTCGACCGTACCCACTTGGGGGTATGTACCTGTCTTACAGGCCAGGTGTATTTCGTGCAGACCCTAAGGCAGGAGAAGAGAGGACGGATGGAAGGAAGGGACAAGGGGGAGGGAGGAGAATGCAGCACGAGAGATAGTAGCAGCAGGGGAGCTAGGAGCAGAAAACACGTGGCTGAAGCGTGCGTCCTGCAGGAAACGAAAGAAAGTCTGGAGCGACAGCGCCATTCCCAAATAAATCGTGAGAAAATGATCCCTGCGTGTCGAGGGCGCGGCGGCTGAATAACTTGCGAGGACGTCCCACGCGAGAGCACGAATCCTGTAGAAATTGTGAGGATGTCCCGCGCGAGAGCGCGATTTTGAAATAAATGGTGAAGCATCATCCGCCGGGAGCCGCTGTTGTTGCAAACCGGGGGCGAACAACAATTCTGAGAGCCAAGATTTTCCCTGATAAAAAACCGGATGCAAGCCCCAGAAAGGGCACTTCAATTGAAAAACACATATGTGTCCCGGATGGGGGGATCAAATCTACATACTCTTCAGCAGTGAGACATCAACATCGACAACAACAGCACAAAAAATCACGACAGCAACAACAAAAACAACAATCTCAATAACAACAACAAAAAACAATAACAACAGCAACGACATAAACGAAACAACGACAACAACAACAGCAACAACAACAGCAACAACAACAAAACTACAACAATAACAACAACAACCCAAACAATCATGTTAAGACTATTCGCTCTTATCTGCTCGAGTGTCCGTCGACGTGTGTTTCCCAAACCCTCGGTACCGGCCCTCTTCGTCTTCGATCGTACCCATTTCGGGGGGGTATAGATTTCTTCCTTGCAGGCCGGGCCCCGGCAAGCGACGGGGCGGCCGCGGACCAACGGCCTGGCCAGTGGCGACGCTGATCCGCGGCAACCCGACCCCAAGAGGGACGGACAGGGGGCCGACCACGAGGACGACGACGACGACGACGACGGCGACGACAACGACGACGGCGACGACGATGACGACGAGCGAAAGCGAGAGCGAGAGCGAGAGCGAGAACGAGAGCGACAGCGGGGCCACGAAGGGCAGGAGGGGGGCCACGAAGGGCAGGAGGGGGGCCACGAAGGGCGACAGCGGGGCCACGAAGGGCATGCGTATGGGGCCCCAGGGGCGCGAACGAACGGGGGCCACGACGGGCAGATAGTGCGGGGCCACATGGGGCAACGACGGGGCCACTGAGGGTAGCAACGGGGCCACGTAGGACAGCGAGGGGGCCACGAAGGGCGACTGCGGGGCCACGAAGGGCATGCATATGGGGCCAAGGCGGGCGCGAACGAGCGGGGGCCACGAAGGGCATGCGTATATTGGGCCGCCAGAGGGCAAGGACGGGGCCACTGAGGACAACAACGGGGCCACGTAGGACAGCCAGGGGGCCACGAAGGGCGACTGCGGGGCCAAGAAGGGCATGCATATGGGGCCACGACGGGCGCGAACAATCGGGGGCCACGGAGGGCATACATATATGGGGCCACGATGGACAGCGACAGACTGCGAAGGGCTGCAACGAGGCCACGAAGGGCAGCGAAGGGGCTACGAAGGGCTGCGACAGGACCAAGAAGGGCACCGAGGGGGCCACGAAGGGCAGCGAAGGGGCCACGAAGGGCTGCAACAGGGCCACGAAGGGCTGCAACGAGGCCACGAAGGGCAGCGAGGAAGCCACGAAGGGCTGCAACGGGACCACGAAGGGCTGCGAGGGGGCCGCGAAGGGCTGCACCGGGGCCCAGAAGGGCAGCGAGGGGGGCCACGAAAGGCTGCAACGGGGCCACGAAGGGCAGCCAGGGGGCCACGAAGGGCTGCAACAGGGCCACGGAGGGCAGCGAAATCCCGATTCCTAAGTAAGCTACGAGGGAGTCCTAAGCGTGAGCGCGACTCCTGGGTGCCTGAGTGTCGAGAGCGCGGCGCTTGAGTCCAAGAGCGGGATTCTTAAATAAGTTGCGAGCAACTCTCCAGAGAGAGAGCGCGACTCCAGAGCGCCGAAAGAGAGACATATTCCTGAACAAATTGCATGGAAGTCCCCAGCGAGAGCGCGATTCCTGAACAAAATGCGAAGTCTCAGGCGGGAGCGGGGGTCCTGGCTAAATTGTAGGGACATCTCAGGCGGGAGCCGTTGTTGTAATCCGGGGGCCGTTAACGCAGTTTGAGCCTAGTGACATTCCCTGGTTAAAAACCGGTTGCGAGCCCCAGGGGAGGCACTTCAATTAATAAAACACAGTGGCCACCGAAGGGGGGATCAACAATTATTTTCCTGTAGTGAGAGTTCAACAACAACAACAACAACAATAACAATAACAATAACAAGACTTATAATAATAATAATAATAATAATAATAATAATAATAATAAGTTTAAGTTTAAGACTGTTCGCCCTTATATGCTCGAGTATCCAATAACGCGTATTCCCCCAACCCTCGATACCCGCCCTCTTCGTCTTCGATCGAGCCCCTTTTGGGGGGAATACCTGTCTTCCCTGCAGGCCGGGCCCCGGCAAGCGGCGGGGCGGCCGCGGACCGTCGGCCTGGCCAGCGGCAGCGCTGATCGGCGGGGCGGCCGCGGACCGTCGACCCGACCCCAAGAGGGACGGACAGGGGACCGACCACGACGACGACGACGACGACGACGACGACGTCGAAGACGACGGCGACGACGACGACGACGGCGACGACGAGCGAAAGCGAGAGCGAGAGAGAACGACAGCAGGGCCACGAAGGGCACGAAATAGGCCACGAAGGGCGACAGCGGGGACACGAAGGGAATGCGTATGGGGCCACGTAGAGCGCGAACGAGCCGGGGCCACGAAGTGCAGATAATGCGGGGCCACCGAAGGCAACTGTGGGGCCACTGAGGGTAGCAACTGGGCCACGTAGGACAGTGAGGGCGACACAAATGGCGACAGCGGGGCCACGAAGGGCGTGCACATGGGGCCACAACGGGCGCGACTCCTGGGTGCCTGGGTGTCGGGAGCGCGGCGCTTGGGCAAATTGCAGGAAATCCCAACGCAAGGCCATTCTTCAGTAAGTTGCAAGCAAGTCTCCAGCGAGAGCGCGACTCCAGAGCGCCGAGAGAGCGATTCCTTAATAAATTGCATGGAAGTCCCCAGCGAGAGCGCGATTCCTGAATAAAGTGCTCGGGCGGGAGCGGGGGTCCTGGCTAAATTGTAAGGAAGTCTCAGGCGGGAGCCGTTGTTGTTGTAACCCGGGGGCCAGGGTCCCAGTTTGAGCAGGAAGACTTGCCCTGTCAAAAAACAGTATGCGAGCGTCGAGGGGCACACTTTGATTGAGAAACAACAGTATGCACCGGTGGGGGGATCAACAATAATTATTCTTCAGAAATGAGAATTCAACAACAGCAGCAGCAGCAACAACTAAAGCAACAACAAAAATAACGACAACGACAACGACACCGATAACGATACCGACGACGACGACAACAACTATCACCTTCAGACTGTTCGTTCTTATGTATCTGCTCGCGTGTCACTCCACACTTCTACCTGACATCACAAAAACTCTATACCCACGCTGTTCGTCTTCGGTCATATCCCCATTAGGGGGCATATCTTCCTGACCTGCCAGGTACAGTTGGCGCAGCCCCCAAACACAGGGGAAGGGAAAAGTGAAAGAGCAACGGAGAGAGAGAAAGATGGAGCACGAGAGAGACTACAGTCGGGGTTGATTGGAGAGGACACGTGAGAGGACACAAGACCCTTGGGAGGGCCACATTGTCATAGGAATGTAAGAAGGCATGGGTCGCGAAGCTCAGGACACAAGGGCACCCTTGATTTGGCAGGGTCGACCTACCAATCAATCTCGACTGTAGCGGGAGGAAGACTAGGACCACACAAAAGCAAGCGACCGAACCAGGCGGGCGCGACGGACGGGGCGGGGCGGGGCGGGCGGGCCCAGACGGCCACGTCAAGGCGGGCGGGTCGCTCGACGCGTCGGTCACGCAGGGATCGCGGGGAGGTGTCGAGCGACAGAGCGCGAATCGATTGGAGATCCAGAGCGCGAGAGCATGATTCCTGAGTGTCGAAGGGGCGGCGATTCCACAGATTGCAAGGAAATGCCACGCGAGAGCGCGCTTCCTGCATAATTCGCAAGGGAGTCATGCGCGAACGCGCGGTTTTTGAGGAATTGAAGAAGACGTGTCGGACGGGAGCCGATGTTGCTGTAAACCATGGGCCAGCGACACAATCTGACGCGCAAGACGTTCCCTTATGACAGACCAGGTGCGAGCCCCGAGACGAGCACTGTCATTGAAAAACACAATGGGCAGTGGGGGGATCAACAAGAATCACCCTTTAGACCTGAGAAAACGACAACGACTGACCAAAACAGAACAATACATCCCCAGGACGAAATGTGTTCCTCTTGGGCCCAGAACAACGGTTTTGCGTCTTGAACAGGCGACGCGTCTGGGGTGACCGCCGTCGGATCCAATGAAGTTCGCGCGTGTCCAATTTTGGTGTTCGTTTCCTCCTCCTCCTCCTCCTCCTCCTCCTTCTCCTCCTCCTCATCCTCCTCCTCCCCCTCCAGCCATGGCGTCGCAGGGACGCATGCGGGCTGCGCCAGTGAGAACTTCGGTGGAGCTCCCTACGGGGCCACGAAACGTGGGAGGGGTGCGCCGACGTGGAGCTCCCTATGGGGCCACGACACGTGGGAGGGGTGTGCCGAACTGGCCGTGACGCACGTGGGCTGCGCCACTGGTACCTTCGGTGGAGCCCCCTGTGGGGCCCCGCATCGAATGAAGGGTGCGCCGAAATAACAAATGGCCGAGACGCATGCGGGCTGCGCCGCGGGACCTTCGGTGGAGCTCCCTATGGTGCCACGGAACGTGTGAGGGTGTCCAGACGTGGGTGGCGTGGACGCATGCGGGCTGCGCCACTGGGATCCTCGGTGGAGGTCCCTATGTGGCCGCGAAACGTGCGAGGGTGTGACGACATGGGTTGCAGACGCATGCGGGCTTCGCCACTGGGACCTTCGGTGGAGCTCCCGATGGGGCCACGACACGTGTGAGGGTGTACCGAAATATGTGGCGAGGACGCATGCGGGCTGCGCCTCTGGGACCTTCGGTGGAGCTCCCTATGGGACCTCAAAACGTGTGATTGTGTGTGCCGAAAGTAATGGCGGGGACGCATGCGGGCTGCACCACTGGGAGCTTCGATGAAGCTCCCTATGGGGCCACGAAACGTGTGAGGGGTGTGCAGAAACAGAGACATGCGGAAGGCAGAGGCAGGGATGGGAGGGGGAAGAAGAGGAGGAGGAGGAGGAGGCGGAGGAGGACGAGGAGGATCAGGAGGAGGAGGAGCAGGAGGACAAGGAGGAGGAGGAGCAGGAGGAGGATGGGGAGGACAGGAGGAGGAGGAGGAGCAGGAGGAGGAGGAGGAGGAAGAGGAAAAGAGGAGGAGACGCGCGGACTCTCTCGTCAAAACGAAGACCCAACTCCACAGGATGACTAGGAGCAAGCCAAACGGCTGGCTGGCGGGGCAGTATCGCTCCCCCTTGCCATCAGACCCCTCGCCTCCTTCCCCCCGCCCCTCCCCCTTTCCTCCCCCCCCCTCGGAGGCCCGCCTCGAAGTGCAGAGCTGCCCGGACATAGAAGGCTCCACCAGACAGGCTGCGACAAATCGACGGCTCACCTATCGATCCGTCGAGCTATAGCCGCTCCGAACGACCGTCGCGGATGGCCTGGGAAGAGCAGACGTACTGCAACTGCTGCGACGACTCCCCAAGCCGGGCCTCCCAGGCCCCCTCCCCCCCTCCCCTTGAGGCGCAACGACAGGGGGGGACTGGCTCCAGAGGGTTAGGAGGCAACTGCTGGGAGGTTTTCGTCGGAAAGATTAAGGAGGATCAAGCCCCATTTGGGGGCTATTACGCCGGAGTGGGCCTCGGAGTAAGCGGGATTAAACCGGATTAAGCGGGATTAAGCCAAATTAAGCGGGATTAAGCGGGATTAAGCCGGATTTCGGACCAGGGCAAGATCAGAATTTGACCTCCCAGGAGTTGCATCCGAAAGAGGGGAAGCACCGACCTGGAATCGGCGATACGCCGCCGACAGATCAGCGATAAGGCCCCCGACGGCGACTCCGCACGGCCCCTGGCGGGGCGGACGGTCGGGCCGCAGCCGGCGACGACTGGGCGCTCGGGGGTCGACGCATCCCCCCCCGGAGCCCCGCAAAATGATCCTCACCGTCTGGTTTTCTGAGTATCGTTCAACCGATCCCCATCCCCAGCGGCGTGGCCTGGGTCCCACTGGCCGATTTACCCCCCTAGATGGGGATATAGGTCGTTCCCTTCGGGTTTCGAGGGGTGTATCCCCAACTGGGGTGGTAATTTGGTGGGGGTCTCGAAGGGGATGGGGATGGGGATGGGGATCGGATAAACGATACTGATTTTCGGGCCTCTGGCGGCCGTTCTGGAGGATCTGGGCACCCCCGGAACGCTCTCGGTGAGGTGCAAGCCACTGGAACGCGATCGAGGCGACTCCAGCCGTGGCGACGAGGGTCCCTGTGGAGGCCCGAACAAGCGAAAACGAGCCAAGGGTGGCGGTACCGATGCTTTTTCCTCCTCGGCCGAACAGCACCCAAGCCCCTCCTCCCTCCCCCTCTCAGCGGCGCGCTCGGGGGGGAAGTGAGAGGAGGCAGGCCTTCTCAGGAGGCGACTGAGCTTCTCAGAAACCCTCGCGCCCTCTGAAAAGCCGCCTCGGCCACCGGAGCAGGCTCAGCAAGGTTCCCAGATGGCCGCGGGAGGAGCCTCGGGGCCTTCCGGGAAGCCCCGCCCCCTCTGGCCTGCTCCCCGGGCCCGCCGCCGATCCTCCCCCCCCAAGAGGGGGAGGCCGTCCTGGCACCAGGCAGCCGCCACCTCGTCCATGCCGTGCTGCGACCTCGGCCGCTCTGCTCCGATGCCCGCCCGCCCGTGGGGGCCTGCGCCTCCCGGGCCCGCCTCGCGCGGCACCGGCTGACCGCGGCCAGCTCGCGGGGCACGGCGGGATCGGCGCGCGCAGCAGGCAGGAGAGAGAGCAGGAAGCAAAAAGCGCAAGCGAGAAGCGAACCTGGCGGGCGCTCTCGGGCGAGGAGGGACAGCAGAGGGAAGACTCTCGCCCACGGGGGCCGCCGTTCCAGAGGGGGCCTTGGTGCTGTTGTCGGATTTGTGATGTTGTATGGAACGAAAAGCCGGCACCAGCACCAAGACGCCACTGGAAAAGTTGGCAGCGCTTTCCCTGTGGGGGCTGAGCGACCCAAAGGAGCCTGGAAAGCTTGAGATGGCTCGCATTGTTCTCCGAATTCGCAGGCCATGGGGTTTGCATGATAGGAAAGCGTCCTATGGGGCTCATGGCGCCCGTAAGGCCTATGGGGCTCTCATGCCCCGCGGGATTCGCAAGGCCCAGAAACCCGATGTGGCCCTGACGAGTCAGGGGGCCCATGGGGCCCGCGCGGCTCGCTAGGCCAGCGCGGCGCATTGGGCCCATGCGCGCTGCGGCGCACGTGCGGCCCGAGAAACCTTTGTGGGACTTGTGGGGTTCATCGGGCCGGCTGGGCTCGCGCGGCCCAGGGGCCTCGCGCGGCCCGTGGAAATCCGAACGCCCACCTGGGGAAATAGAAGAGACCCCCGCTTGTTCCCACGCGTTCAGAGCTGGCCTCCATCAGCGCGGGACACGCAAGCCCGAAGTCACGGGCGGCGGCAGTCCACGGAGGCTATGCATGTTTCCTTTCCAGTGGGATCTTGGTGTTGGCGTCGGGCCCCGGTGCGCCGATCAAGCGCCAATCCGAGGAATCCGCGCGGACCTCCGAGTTGTTATGTCTATGTCATGTTTGCTCCCTTACAGTCGGGGCGTTGACCTAAGGAACCCTAAATAAGGAACGAGGCCCCTCTTTTCAATAAGTTAACCTTCGATTTCCTGCCGGAAACATAAGGGAAGCCTGAGGCAAGCTGTGAAACACTTAAGGAAGGCGGAGCCCCTCCCCAACGAAAAGGGTTCCTTCTTCAGGGCCCCGACTGCACTGGCTTGGGCCGGAAGGCGTATCCCCCGATCCCGGGCCCCAGGGTCGGCCCTGCCAGGACCAGTGCGGGTGCACAGCTCGAGCAGGGCATCGACTACAGAATGGATCCACCCCAGAGCTGATTCGTTCGTCGGGTCTTACAAACAAAAAATGCGTCGAAGGTTCGCAGATCTACGAGCATTATCACTACTCTGTTCTGTAGGTTCGACGGGGAGACCCACTGTGTCATGTTATTCCCATCGTCAGGACCACATCCGAAAATGACCCTGCCGACGTACCCAACCCCTGCGCAATGCGGGGCATGAGTACCTTGGGAGACATTATACGGAGGTGATGACGTGACATGGGCGCATATACGTCTGCGAGCGGCATTCGTAAGGCTCGCAGCCCACACAGGCCGCTCAGATCTGCGCGGTGCCTCACTCTGCTGGACCCGCCACCAGCCTTCGAAAGTAGCGACAGGTTCGCAGATCGCAGCCCCCCAAGGACGACGACGTCCCGCTCAGATCTGCGCGGTGCCTCACTCCGCTGGGCCCACCAGCAGCGCTCGAAAGTGGCGACAGGCTCGCAGATCGACGCCCCCCAGGGACGGCGAGGTCTCGCTCATCTCTGCGCGGTGCCTCACTCCGCTGGACCCACCAGCAGCGCTCGAAAGTGGCGACAAGTTCGCAGATCGCAACCACCCAGAGGCGGCGAGGTCCCACGCAGATCTGCGCGGTGCCTCACTCCGCTGGACCCACCAGCAGCCTCGCAGATCGCAGCTCCCCCGGGACGGCGACGTCCCGCTCGGATCTGCGCGGTGCCTAACTCCGCCGGACCAACCAGCAGCCCTCGAAAGTGGTGACAGGTTCGCAGATCGCTATGCTAGCCCCCCATGCAGCCCTCGAAAGTGGCGACAGGTTAGCAGATCGCAGCCCCCCAGGGACGGCGACGTCCCGCTCAGATCTGCGCGGTGCCTCACTCCGCTGGACCCACTAGCAGCCCTCGAAAGTGGCGACAGGTTCGCAGATCGCAGCCCCCCAGGGACAGATCTGCGCGGTGCCTCGACTCAACCCACCTGCAACCATCGAAAGTGGCGACAAGTTCGCAGATCGCAACCCCCCAAGGGTCGGCGAGGTCCCGCTCAGATCTGCGCGGTGCCTCACTCCGCTGGACCCACCAGCAGCCATCGACAGTGGCGGCAAATTCGCAGATCGCAACCCCCATCAACGGCGACGTCCCGCTCAGATCTGCGCGGTGCCTCACTCCGCTGGACCCACCAGCGAAAGTGGCGACAGGTTAGCAGATCGCAGCCCCCCAAGGGACGGCGACGTCCCGCTCAGATCTGCGCGGTGCCTTACCCCGCTGGACCTGCAAGCAGCCCTCGAAAGTGGCGACAGGTTCGCAGATCGCAGCCCCCCAAGGACGGCGACGTCCCGCTCAGATCTGCGCGGTGCCTCACTCCGCTGGACCCACTAGCAGCTCTCGAAAGTGGCGACAAGTTCGCAGATCGCAGCCCCCCAGGGACAGATCTGCGCGGTGCCTCGACTCAACCCACCTGCAACCCTCGAAAGTGGCGACAGGTTAGCAGATCGCAACCCCTCAAAGGTCGGCGAGGTCCCGCTCAGATCTGCGCGGTGCCTCACTCCGCTGGACCCACCAGCAGCCATCGACAGTGGCGGCAAATTCGCAGATCGCAGCCCCCATCGACGGCAACGTCCCGCTCAGATCTGCGCGGTGCCTCACTCCGCTGGACCCACCAGCGAAAGTGGCGACAGGTTCGCAGATCGCAGCCCCCCAAAGGGACGGCGACGTCCCGCTCAGATCTGCGCGGTGCCTTGCCCCGCTGGACCTGCCAGCAGCCCTCGAAAGTGGCGACAGGTTCGCAGATCGCAGCCCCTCAAGGACGGCGACGTCCCGCTCAGATCTGCGCGGTGCCTCACTCCGCTGGACCCACTAGCAGCCCTCGAAAGTGGCGACAGGTTCGCAGATCGCAGCCCCCCAGGGACAGATCTGCGCGGTGCCTCGACTCAAACCACCTGCAACCCTCGAAAGTGGCCACAGGTTAGCAGATCGCAACCCCTCAAGGGTCGGCGAGGTCCCGCTCAGATCTGCGCGGTGCCTCACTCCGCTGGACCCACCAGCAGCCATCGACAGTGGCGGCAAATTCGCAGATCGCAGCCCCCATCGACGGCGACGTCCCGCTCAGATCTGCGCGGTGCCTCACTCCGCTGGACCCACCAGCGAAAGTGGCGACAGGTTCGCAGATCGCAGCCCCCCAAAGGGACGGCGACGTCCCGCTCAGATCTGCGCGGTGCCTTGCCCCGCTGGACCTGCCAGCAGCCCTCGAAAGTGGCGACAGGTTCGCAGATCGCAGCCCCCCAAGGACGGCGACGTCCCGCTCAGATCTGCGCGGTGCCTCACTCCGCTGGACCCACTAGCAGCTCTCGAAAGTGGCGACAAGTTCGCAGATCGCAGCCCCCCAGGGACAGATCTGCGCGGTGCCTCGACTCAACCCACCTGCAACCCTCGAAAGTGGCGACAGGTTAGCAGATCGCAACCCCTCAAAGGTCGGCGACGTCCCGCTCAGATCTGCGCGGTGCCTCACTCCGCTGGACCCACCAGCAGCCATCGACAGTGGCGGCAAATTCGCAGATCGCAGCCCCCATCGACGGCGACGTCCCGCTCAGATCTGCGCGGTGCCTCACTCCGCTGGACCCACCACCAGCGAAAGTGGCGACAGGTTCGCAGATCGCAGCCCCCCAAAGGGACGGCGACGTCCCGCTCAGATCTGCGCGGTGCCTTACCCCGCTGGACCTGCCAGCAGCCCTCGAAAGTGGCGACAGGTTCGCAGATCGCAGCCCCTCAAGGACGGCGACGTCCCGCTCAGATCTGCGCGGTGCCTCAGTCCACTGGACCCACTAGCAGCCCTCGAAAGTGGCGACAGGTTCGCAGATCGCAGCCCCCCAGGGACAGATCTGCGCGGTGCCTCGACTCAACCCACCTGCAACCCTCGAAAGTGGCAACAGGTTCGCAGATCGCACCCCCCCAGGGACGGCGACGTCCCGCTCAGATCTGCGCGGTGCCTCACTCCGCTGGACCCACCAGCAGCCATCGACAGTGGCGGCAAATTCGCAGATCGCAGCCCCCATCGACGGCGACGTCCCGCTCAGATCTGCGCGGTGCCTCACTCCGCTGGACCCACCAGCAGCGCTCGAACGTGGCGACAGGTTCGCAGATCGCAGCCCCCCAGAGACGGCGAGGTCCCGCTCAGATCTGCGCGGTGCCTCACTCCGCTGGACCCACCAGCAGCGCTCCAGATCGCAGCCCCCACAGGATTGCGAGGTCCCGCTCAGATCTGCGCGGTGCCTCACTCCGCTGGACCCGCCAGCAACCCTCGAACGTGGCGACAGGTTCGCAGATCGCAGCCCCCCAGAGACGGCGAGGTCCCGCTCAGATCTGCGCGGTGCCTCTGTCTCACTCCGCTTGACCCACCAGCAGCCCTCGAAAGTGGCGACGGGTTCGCAGATCGCACCCCCGCAGGGACGACGAGGTCCCGATCAGATCTGCGCGGTGCCTCACTCCGCTGGACCTGCCAGCAGCCCTCGAAAGTGGCGACAGGTTCGCAGATCGCAGCCCCCCAGGGACGGCACGGTCCCGCTCAGATCTGCGCGGTGCCTCACTCCGCTTGACCCACCAGCAGCGCTCGAAAGTGGCGACAAGTTCGCAGATCGCAGCCCCGCAAGGGTCGGCGAGGTCCCGCTCAGATCTGCGCGGTGCCTCACTCCGCTGGACCCACCAGCAGCCATCGACAGTGGCGACAGTTTCGCAAATCGCAGCCCCCTATTGACGGCGAAGAGACGGCAGGAGGAGGCGGGAGGCGGGAAGAGAAGGACGCGCGAGTAGTGCTCTATTCAAAACGAATACCCAACCAAGGAGGATTGGGAAATTATTTCGAGCAAACAGAAAATTATCAACGCAGGGTCTGTCCGACACGCTGGCAAGGTGTTGAACGAGCACCGCCTCCCAGGGCCAGACACAAGAAAACCATCCATTCTCAGTAAGTGTTCCCTTGGTGCTCGAAATTATTTCTGGCGATCATGGCTAAAGTTGACTACCTCCCAGACAACCCCAACCTAACCCGAAGACTCGAATTTCGGGCTGGGGGGGTACGGGTTCCATACGTGTTTTTTTTTTCCTCATGCTCCCCGACACCCCCCCCACTGGGAATGGAGGGCAAATTGGAGCCTTCAGGTTGGGTTGGGGTGGTTTGGTGGGTGGTGAAAAGTATGTCGGAACATCATATCAAGTTTGGAATAAATCAATTA